TCCCTGGTACGGGCACGACACCGAGGGATGCGATCCAGTTACCGGTCCGTAAAACAAGACAAAAAGGAAAAAAAAAAAAAGAAGTGATAGGACAAAGAAGAGAGCAGTTTCAGACTTCCAAAGGGCAGGAAACTTTGGGAAGGTAAAGTTTATAGAAAGAGTAAAGTCTGCTCCTAGATTCTCCTAACTCTGCTGGCACCAGACTCTGAGCTGCTAAGAGCTCAAATTAGGGCCTGTGATCCTAACCACTACATGGTGGAGAGCAGTGGAGTAGCAGCAATAACTCTATAAAGCAGTTTAAAACACCTTTTAGTATCTGGACTCAGCTTACCTCCCCACATTAAACTTTGTGCAATAGTGCTCTCTCACCTCTGGCCATTTCAAGTGCTTTCACCTTTTTTTCACACCTTCCCAGCCCTCAAAGTCCCAGCTCCTTCTTGTCTGCTACTTTGTGGTTATCTTTCAAGTCTCAGTCTAGCATCACTTCTTCCAAGTTTTCTGTCCCAAGTTCAGGTGCCCTTCCTGAAGACTGCCATAGCAGTTTGTATTTCTTACATTATTATCATAAGATTATAGCACTTATCTCATTGTGGCAAGTACCCATTTTGTTTTCTGTTAGTTTTTTTTATATTCTACGTTTCACTCACTGCTGTATCCTGGCACCTTTCACAGTGCCTGGCACATAGCACTCCACGGCAAGAAATATTAGTCAGTTTGGTTATGTCCAGAGGTTAGCTTAGTGCCTGGCCTTATTTATGGCTCAAAATACGTTAAGTGAATGAAGTAATGAATTTTACTTGAAAGTAAGTTTAATGCATTTGCTCATACTATAAATATTATTCTATCTAGGTGCAATCTCTTGGCATTTCCAAATGTACACACTGTGTGTGCATATGTGCATGTGCATATGTGTGTGTGTGTGTATATATATATATAGTGTGTGTGTGTGCATATGTGCGTGTGCATATGTGTGTGTATGTATGTATATATATAGTGTGTGTGTGTGTATATATATATATAGTGTGTGTGTGTATATATATATAGTGTGTGTGTGTGTATATATATAGTGTGTGTGTGTGTATATATATAGTGTGTGTGTATATATTTAGTGTGTGTGTGTATATATATATAGTGTGTGTGTGTCTGTGTGTGTATATATACATAGTGTGTGTGTGTGTGTATATATATGTAGTGTGTGTGTATATATATATAGTGTGTGTGTGTGTATATATATATGTAGTGTGTGTGTGTGTATATATATAGTGTGTGTGTGTGTGTGTGTGTGTGCGTGCGTGTGTATAGATATATACCTGTCAAAACAGTTCATTTAAAATTGTAAGCGCCTACAGAGCTGGTGGATTTAGACTGTACTCGCATTACCGGGTAAGATGTTGCTCATGCTCTACCACCTGTGTGTATTGTTCTACGATTTGTAGATACCTGTTTTTATCTTCGTGGATTTTGTATATTTATATATGTGACAATTCACTCTGCCTCATTTATCATGTAGACGTCGTGTTTCCTAAACACAAAATGACTCAATTAATAACGTACAACAACCACACAGAAAAGTGCACGTTAGCATCAAAAGGCTTCTTCTGCATTCTCTGTGTTCAGTAATTATTTCTTAGAAAAACAGGCGCTTCAAAGACACTTAATAACAGACAAATGCAAGTTAGTTAACTTGTCATTAAAAGACGCCCGGGCCGCGTCAGCAAGCCAGCATTTCGCCCTGGTTGGGCAGACCGCTGTCGCTAGGACAGAGAAACTACAAACCTCAGCATGCATTGCCGCAAGAAGTGCTAAAGAGACCAGAGAAGAGCGCCGCGGTGAACTCTGGGGTTTGTAGTGACCCATCCAAGCCCTACAGTGGCCGCTTTGACACTTACCGGACCCAGCCACCACCAACAGACTGAGAGACTCCCGGGGCGTAACGCCCTGGGAATGAAGCACTATCCATAGTCGCAGGACTAGGCAGACGGCCACAGCTCCTGCCGCGGCAGCCGAAAGAAGGACACAGCCCATGTGAAGAAACGGCGCATGCGCACTGCTCTCTGGCGCCAGCCGGGGACCAGCGGTCAAAGTTCACAACTACGGGCGCTGAGGAGACTCAAACATGGAGCGACGCGCCCCTTGGTGGGCTGGGCTGCCCTGGCTAGGAGGAGTTAAAGGGCGGAGGGAGAGGCCGCGGTCGTGCGGCTCGTGCGGACGTTTGTGGCTGCGCTACCGGATTCTGCGCGGCTGCGGCCCAAGCGTCAGCTGAAGTTCGGCAAGTTAGGGGCTGGAGAATTTTGATTTCCGCCCGTGACGACGTCGGGCCACCTGTGCGCCCTACAGACCCCGAAGCTCCCAAGTAGGAGGTGTTCCAGCTCTACCCACTTTGTGAATTCTACCTGAGGCCAATGGCGTCATCGCTTTTTTTTTTTCTTTCTTCCTTTTTTTAATGCGAAGGGAAATATTTCTGTTGCACACACAGGCATTACTGAAAGTGTTTGCCAGTAGAAGGTACCCTGGGGCGGGGAATTGAATTTAGGGCCCTCATCCAAACTCTTTCTTTCTTAACACTGATGTTTTTAACTTTTCTAGGCGGTTTCACAGTTCTCAGAGTGACCAGAGTAGTGAGGGAGATCACCTAAAGTTATGATACGTTCCTGAAAGGAGTGGAAGCCCAGTGGCTCAAGGTAGCAGGATAGAGAAGACATAGATAGTCCTACAATTCATGTTCAGCTAATTTCCCTTGTTTATTCCTTTCATCCTCAGCCAAAGTGATAATCTGCCAGCACCTCCTCTAATCCCAGTTTTGCTTGTTTTTATGTCTATTTAATACACACTACAGCAACATAAAAATACTAACGTCAGAGAAGCCCCTTCATCCCAAACGTAATTTGCCTTCTGTCCCCCATAGACCTGTAGGTTACATAGGACAAATATATAGATGAGTAAATAGGTTCAGGAAGGTACAACGGCTTGCCCAAGAATAGTGTCAGATTTTGAATTAGAAACCAGAAATCCTAACTCCTTCTGTATATGAGGACTACATTATATATTCCTTTGCTAAATTCAGACTTAGCTGATCATCACATTTACCTGGAACCTAGAATGTGTTTTTAAAAGTGCAGACTCCGAGGATCCACTAGGGAGCCACTGAATCAGAATCTCCAGAGGATGTGCCTGGGATCAGCTTATATAGCTGATGTGTCAATTTCTATCAACAGGCAAGTTTGGTAGACTTTGTAGGTACATCGTTTTCTGTCTTGTGGATGTCACAGCACTTTTCATATTCAGTATTTATTCTGTTAAATCCTTTTAATGCTATATCCTCACAATAAGGCCATAAAGTGGATATTCTTCTCTTTACAGATGAGGAAGTAGATTCCATAAAAGTTAAATAATTTGCCTAAGGTTACTGAGCTTGTAAGTGGCGGGAAGGTTTATAATTGTGGACTTAGAAGTTAGTGTCTCTCAAATTTTGGTGGAATTAGAACCTGATAGGCTTACAAATGCATAACTGGAAGTTTAGAGGTAGGGTGTCTGGAGTAGTATGAAAAACAGCTCAAAAATTCTTTCGTCTGGCCACTCTCAATTGCCAGCAATGGCTTCAACCTAAGACGCCCCCTTATACTTAAAGAAGACATTATTGGGCCAGAAATTACATCCACACAGGGCAATTTCCAAAGCCAAAAAAGAGATTATCTTGACATTGTGTCTGCTTTATAAGAGCAAAGAAACCTTTTCTAGAACTCCTCACAGCAGACTTTCTTTCACTCCTTTTGGCAATATTTGTATCACTTGCAAAAGGAAAAAGATCCCAAAACTGGCAAGGTAGGAAAAGGAGAGACCCCAAAGCTGGCAAGGTAGGAGTGGAAGATGACATACAACTCACCTGTAGTATATAGCCTTGGTTGGAGGTTGGGTACTGTGGGTACTGAACAAAATGAGTATTCTCTTGAAGAAGAGGAAGTTGAAAGAGGGAGCGTTGTTGGGTAGGCAAACAATAATGTCTAGATTGCTATGAATTTAATATGTCTGAGATGGCTTTGTAAACTGACACATGCAATGCAGATGTCTGGCATATAATAATTATTTGGCTCCAGCTCCCAAGCTCCATAAAAGGGAAGATTTAATAGTCAGAGGACACCCTTGCATTTCTCATTATCCCATCCGCTCACTACTGTAATTACCTATATCTTTAGGAAAAGTCAGTTTGACCACACTTGGAATGAATGGGGCAGTCAAGCATCGGGGGCTGTCAGTAAATTCAGAGAATCAAAGGGGTGGAGTAGCAGCTATTGGAGTTATTGGTTAAATTATTCTGAGTTAGGGTGAGGGTCAAACTGTTCAGTTTTCCCGTCAAGGAAGCTGAGGACTGCAGGGAGGAGCTAGGTGGCAAGCAGGCAGGGACAGAAACAAAGTTGAGAATTCCTGAACAAAAATGTCTACCGGGTAAGCTGAATCCTGGGCTGAGACAAACACAAAATGGATAGATAATCAAGGGGCCAAGAAGCTGTAGTGGACTAATCAGGAAAGTTAAGGCTGAGTGAGAAGAAACAACTGTCAAAATTTCTCTTGGGAAGGTGAGTTGCAATGACAATGCAGAAAACAGAATCATGGAGGTAAATTGTAGTATTGCACAAAGCATAAAAAACATGTTAATAGTTCACAAAATGGCCTTGTAACACCAAGGTCAAGGCTTCGGTTCCCCATACCAGAAACAAAAACAAACAAACAAAAAGTTCACAAAATGAGTAATGAAATGTGATCCATAACCAACCATAAGGAAAGTCTGTCTGGGAGGTGATTTTTATCCTCAAGTCCATTTCCAAAATTTCTATGGCAAATATCTATTATTCATATATATTTTAAAGTTTATTAAAAGTTCAGATTATTTTGGACCATTCTGTAGGTTTGTACATGTTAATGTATTCCAAATGCTTAATGAGTATCTGCTATGTGCTAGACACTGTTTTAGATACAGGGGATATCATAAGTAGGACAGTAGTCCAGGCAAGAACCTTGGACTGACAGTAGAGGCAGAAGAGGGCAGATATGAGATATATTTTATGGGCAGAGTCAATAAAACTTGTTGATGGATTAGATATTGGGGATGAAGAAAAAGGAGAAATCAAGATGACTCCTAGATTTTTGGCTTCAAAACCAGTTAGGTGGTGTCGTTTGCTAAGAATATATGGACTGGAGGAGAAAGAAGCTTTTGTTGGTTGGGGAAGGAGAGGAGAGAATGAAAATGCAGTGCTCTGTTTTGAACTTTAGTTTGAATAGCCTGTTATGCAGCCAAGTGGTTATGTCAAATAGCAGTTTTACATACAGATCTGAAGCTTGGGTCAGATCTAGAGGTACAAATTTAGAATTTATTAGCATATAGATGATATTTAAAGCCATGGGACTGGGTGTGATCACCTAAGGGGGGAGTTTAGGTCAGTCTTTTCCAATAGAACTTTCTGTGATGATGAAAATGTTTTATATCTGTGTTGTATACTATCCACATGTAACTCTTGAGCATTTGAAATATGGCTAGTGTGACTGCAGAACTGAATTTTAATTTTATTTCATTTAAAATATTTAAATCTAAATAGACACATGTGGCTCATGGCCAGTGTATTGGAAAGCACAGCAAAGAGAAGAGTCTAGGGTTGCTAGTAATGAGGGGTCTAATAGAGGAGATTGATCCAGCAAAGAAGACAGAGAAGGAAAAGTTAGGAAGATAAGAAAATCAGGGAAGAATGGTGTTCACAAGAACCAAGAAGGAAAATGATTCAAGAATGAGCGTGCAGTCAGCTATGTCATATGCTGCTGAGGTGACTTGGGAATAGGTGAATCATTGGGGACCTAAACAAGAGCAGCATTCTGTGGAATGGTGGTGATGGAAGGCAGATGGAAATGAGCAGAAGAGAGAAAGGGAGATGAAGAAAAGCAGTTAGTTTCTATAGACAATCGTTTCAAGTTTTTCTTTGAAGAGGAATGGATAAATTGGATGGGAGATGGAGGAGAATTTAGAATCAAGGAAACCTATTTTTTAAGGTGGTAGTTACTTGACATATTTGTTGTTATTAAGAAGATCTAATAGAGGAACAAACTTCTTTCACCAAAGATGAAAGGTGTTGAAATCTAGAGCAGAAGTGGAGAGGGCGGGGTTTTGTAGGAGGGGTGACACTTATTCCAGGTAGTGGGATGGAGGATAGGGATATAGATGTAGATGCAGGGAGGTTTGTAGGATTAGTGGTGAGTGGATGAAGGTGTGGGGCCTGGGGGTACAGAGTGTGGGAGGCTTAAAGAGAGAGAAGGTATAAAATAATCATCTTGAAGAGTAATTGGTACGCTCACCAGAACCAGTGTAGGATTTCTGAGATTAAAATGCCACTTGAAGCTTGTGATAACACATAGAGAAGACAGTCAGCATAATTTTATGTATTTTAATCCCCACTGAAAAAGGCAGATAGTTGGCTTTTATCAGAGTTCAAGTTTTGACAAGTAAATACAACAGAGAGAGAAAGCTCTTTTTGATGGAGTGAGGTCCATGAAATTTCCTGTGGACATAGTGGAAAGTGAAGACAGGAGAGTAGAGGTGGGAGAGTAAATGAATAGTGGAAGAGTGGTAAGATCAGTGGATTGGAGGCCTTAAGAAGGCTGAAAAATTGTAGTGAAAGAACTAGAGTAAGTGAACTATAGAGATAGAGGCGGTGGTCAGGGAGTGGAATGTTTAAAGTCAATATTGTGCTATAACTGGTGGTAGTATTTAGGGTATGACTATGGGAATGAATGAAAAAGTTCCCTGAGGCTGGCTGGTTAGCTCAGTTGGTTAGAGTGCAGTGTTAATAACACCAAGGTCAAGGATCCCTGCACTGGCCAGCTGCCAAAGGGGGAAAAAAAAAAAAAAGATCACTGGGGGCCACCCACATGAATGCTTAAGTCACTGATGGGTGGAGAGGAAGACAATGAGCTAGGAGCTCACATCAAAGATTAAGGGGTTGGAAGATGACAGCAACCAATAAAAGCATTGGATATGAGCTGGATATCTTCCATTTGTCCCTCCAGATCCATTCCTTATGCTTCTCCACCCCACTC